GCAAAATTTTCTCCAGCTTTCCAGTTTGGCTTGTAGGAGCATTTTCTTATATTTTGCTCTTTCCTGTTGAAAGGTGATGAGCGTGTTAGAAGAAATATTGTGACACCGCTCCTGCTTAAGACGGCGTCTAATGGCGCGAACTTTCTGCTGTTGTTCTCTGAGATGACTGCTCCACCAGTTTAGATTAGAGATCTTTTTGGTTGTTCTGGTTGGCAACAATTCATTACAAACTGTTCTTATGGTGGACATTATGTCACTCGTGTATAACTTGTAAGGCTTCGGTGGTAGTTGCTTGTTCGATCAACTCTGCGAAGTGGGCAAGTTGGGATTTAATGGCTGCAGCAAATGTCCTTACTTTATTACCTGGCAAGTTATACCTCTTGATTATCGAGGTGGCTGTCTCACTGGCGATAGAAAATCTAATATAATTGTGGTCTGAAAGGCTTAAGCCTTCCACGACCGTCCAATCCTGAATCTTTTGCGCAATTTGCAATGTTGCTACTGTAAGGTCGGGCCATCCCTGTGAGTGGACGCGATCGAAGGTGGGTGCAGCATCATGATGATTAAGTACGCTCATATTTTGACTAGAAAAGAAATCTTCTAGCATCCGGCCTTTAGGATCAGTGCTGGCATATCCCCATGTGGAACTGTGGGCGTTGAAATCCCCAGCACATAAGATGTTATGGGACCTGTACCGCTGAAGTAGTTGCTGCATTCGCTGGATAGTTGCATCTATATTAGCTGTCGGAGGGGAGTATAGTGAGACCAAGAGAACCGTTATGTTGTGCATCTCAAGAAGAATAGCCCCGAAGTCTCTTTCTGTGGTGATGATAACCGGTGTCCACGCTGGGTTGCAAATGATCAGTATTGCACGGGGTGAATCGTTAACATCTTTTTTTTTGGTACACTGTCCATTGTAGAGGATAGCCTACCGCTTTTCCCTTCAAGCAGTATGGTTCTTGGGCAAATATTAGATCAACCCCTTCAGTTGCGGCATATGCGGCAGCTTGTGCCGTGGCTGCTTTGGCATGTTGCAGATTAATCTGAAGGCACCTTATTGGTGTTTGAACTGGGATCGTGTCCGTATTAATGTCTGTTGTCAGTGCAGCGTCCAGTTGCTGAGGTGGCTGGGTTAGACTATTACTGGTATGAGGTGCAGAAGTAACTGAAGGCTGTGACGTACTTGCTTCTGTATGGGTGTTCACAGACACTTTCTCTTCAGTATTCCGTTGCGCTACGGACGTTGTCAACTGCCCGTTGATAAATTGCGCATTCTGCTGCATAGGCAGGGTGGTGGAAATTGTATCTGGTACCCAACCTGTAATTTGCGTCTCCGCAATTAATGCATGATGATGGTTGGTCTCCAGTGCAGTCTCTGGTTGCGTGAGCGCCGGAGCAGAAACCGCAGAAGATCTTGGAGGACCTGCACACGTCCTGGCTGTGTCCAAACTGTTGACAGCGATAGCATCTTCGTACTCCAAGGAACTCGGAGATGCCATGCGCCTGCCATGCCGTGAATATGCGCTTTGTCTTGATTGCTGCAGCAAATCCTTCTGTGGAGCACTCGATGATCCATTTGACCCTCTGTGGGCGTCGCTCACGCAGACGGAAGAGAATCTTGAAATGCAGGGCGGAGATTCCTGCTGTCGTGCTGAGCTCAGAGATGAGCTCCTCTGGCTTGGTATGCTCCCCGACATTATGTACTGCTATTCTTGGTCGACGTCGCTGTTTCCTCTGTATATCTATATCGATGTCTGCTTTTTGAAGATGGTCCTTTAACTTGTCAACTTCTTCGGGGGTATCACAATAGACTTCCAGACCTCCTTGCGGGGCGGGCTGTATTCTCCGTACTGCTACGGGGATTTTGTCCAAAGGGACCTTGTCTTGTAGAGCTCTCCGCAAATCGTCTGTTGGCCTTTTGGTCTTTGGTTTAATCACGAGACTGGGCTTACTGTTCTTGCGCACGGCCTCTGCAAAGCTTTGCGGTGTACTGTTTACTGTTTGCGGAGGGGCCTGCTCACAGGCGGGCTGTTGCGCAGATGGAGAGGGAGTATGCACTGTACCACAGCAAACAAAAGTAGAGGTATTGGTACCTGCCTCTATTGCTGGCGGTTTGGGGCGATACTCTGGACCCTCTAAGGCAAGGCCTTGGAGCACAGATAATGCGTCCTTCAGTCTATTCCTTAAATCTTGAGGGAGAAGGTATCTACCTCCTCGGCTTGTATCGGTGATATTCCGGATCTCGTTGGCTAGTGCAGCGATCTTTTCTGGTGTTGTCCGATCGGACTCTAGCAATTCTGCTGAATTAAGCTGTGTTGAATTACTGGCTTCCTCTGGGAGCTTGGACTGGCGTGTCATGTCACAAGTAGAAGCGTGATCCTTTAAATTGACACTATGGAGTCGCTGGGTAACACGTATAATGCACTATTGAAATCACTCTTGACACTGATGTGTACACTAAAATACGCTTATTTCAGCGTTGTATGCACTTAAAAACACTGTACGATACTATTCACACTAGCTATGACACTAGTGTCGCACTTTAAATCACTGAAGAGAAAACTAACTTCACTGAAACAAAGCCTAGCGTTGCTTGGTCACTGCAACAAACACTATATTTCTAGCTGAGGGCTTTAACTAGTGGCCATGCACTATTCATTCACTTAAAGACACTGAAATTGATATTGGAACAATTTGCACGTATTTACACTTGTGATGCACTGTATCTAACTTTCACTGAGATGCACTAACGTTGCTTGAACACTGAACTAAATCACGCACTATACTTTACCGACGCTTTGACTAGGGGCTGGGCACGATTAATTCACTTATTAGCACTGTTGTTGACACAATTTGCACATATAAGCACTAACGAAGCTTCAATCGTTGAGCTATAGCACACACTTATCGTGAACTGAAGACTGGTGGTTATGCACTATCAGCTCACGTTGTAACACTGGATGTGACTCTAAATAACGCTTGTAAATTGACGTTTAATCACTGAATTAGCACACACACAGTACATTAAACACTTTCACTGTAAAGAAACACTGTTTCACTCAGCACTGTAATAACTTTGTAAAAAGAATGGCACTTAAATACCTTGTGTAATTACACGTATTATCTTATTTATGCCAACGTGGAGACTCTAATTGTACACTATGTGATAGTTTGTCTGGTTCACAGGAAATTACAATCTGGTATACTTAAATATTTACTCATAACACAAAGTAAAACATGTAAATAGCACTAAGAGTTAGAAAATTACTACAATTTAACTGAGGATTGCTAATTGAATAGGACCAATTAATACTAATTAAATTAAAGTACCGAATATCTGGTAAACAGTCACTTAAATACTGTAAAATCTGAGTGAATACAAGATGCAAAAATCAGAGTTATATAGGTATGAAGTACAATAATCAAAATCAGCACTGTTAATTAGCTTAATTAGAGGCGGTTAATCAACGGTGAAACACTTTTAAATCTGTAGCCTGAAAACACATAAATACATGGTAACAGATACTTGATAAATTTGGCCAGAGTACCAGAACTGTTATAAGGATACTGTTATTTGGTCAGTTAATTAACAGTAATTAATTAGAATAGAGAACTGAACGACAAGAATTAAGAGTCTAAAAGTACCTAGGTCAAACTTGGGTCTGTAACAGTATTATTAAAGTACTAGTTAAGAATTATTACCAGAAGTTAAGATTTAGGTAGGTTGTAATTAAAATTAATTAGTTACTTAATCAGCGCTTAAAGCCTACCTTGGCCGATATCGCTTCTCTGTTGTCTTGGTCTGCTTCTATATACACGTAATCCAAACAAATAGCACACGCACATAATATTCACCACACCTTTGCATATAAACAATAACGCGCAGTTATCAAATTTCAAAGTCCGGAATTAGCACAAAATTGTTATCTCGGGTTATACACGTCCGATAATTAAGAAAGATATGTCTCTGTGATCCTTGACACTTCAGAAATCCGAATCCGTTAGTTCCAATTAGCTGCTTTAATTAGTTGACTAATTAGCAAAATTAGGCAAGGAGTCCCAGTCCTTTCTCCTTCCTTTGTTAGATGAAGAATGAAGGACTTCGACGGGGGGTCAATGGAATGCGGATGACCGTTGTACGGGTGTTGAAACGTTGGAAAGGTCAGGGGTCATGGGAACCACGTGGCTGTAAATTCGCTTAATTTAAAAATTAATTACTCCCGTTCTAATTGTCCATCGGGCTTGTAATTAGCATCAAAATTCTCCTTGGGAAATCCTCTTTCCAATGATATCCAATTTAATAAGCGTCGGCTTCCAATGGCTGCTCGGCTATCGCTTGAAGACTGCTAACTGGAATCACCACGCTGAACGTATTGCTATAAATATTAATTACTTCGTAATTAATTAACCGTTTGACGTATATCCAAAAATTCGGTATCCGCGTATTCATCAAGCTGTTATCTATCCAATGCAGTTTGTTTCAGAACCTGAAAATAAAAATTTCCGCTACTACGGAGAAAAAACACGGAGCTGCAGAAACACGACCTGCTCCTGGCTCTGCTGAGCGATCTCGTGAATGGCGTCATATAATTTAAACAAAATGTAGTTTGAAATTCATTTTTAAACTAATCTCTAGAGAAATAGCAATTTTCGTAAAACTAGAATTTCCAGAACGCCGATTTCAATCAGACCTTTCCTCAAGAGTTTTATTAAATTCAACTCAAACAAAAATCAGCATTTCGTTTATAACTAGAAAGTTCTCTGAAGCTGCTGAACTTAAAGTGAAGCTTCATGACACTACATAAGCGATTACAATTTGCAATCTGAGATATATTGTATTTTGCATAAGTATAAAAAGTAAGGCGAGAAAATAAGTCATGAGATGCTTCAAACCTTCAAAATATGATACAGAATACATTATGCGAAAGCCATTGAATTATCAATATTACATTTGAATTATTAGCATTAGCCAGCTTATCTGATTAAAAATTTTTACATACCTGCATAGAATTCGTTAAAGAGAAGATCAGTTGGAGGCTGGTATTGTAAGAGTCTTCGACGGCCAGTATACCAAAAAACCAGTTAATGGCAAAAAATGGCAACAGTGTGATTCCTGCCCTCATAGAATTTCTGAAAAAGAAATGGAATTAAAAAATATCTGAAATAGAAACTGCGAGGAAAATTAGGAAGAAGAACCATTCCGTTCGATAATATTTATAAACTAGTTTAATGTAAAAGAACTTAATGAAACTAAAAATAGCTTTAGGAAACTTAACGAGGTATTAGAACTAATCATTAAATTTAGCAATGCCTTTGTAAATGACATTTTCAATACTTTAATTCTTCTGTCGAACTACATGCTGATTTGATTATAGTAGAGGACATGAAGGTATACGCTTTAAGGAAGCTAAATCTTCGTGAAGCAATTCCTGAGAGAAATTGGCTCATATTTGCATTATACATCAGGAAAAACGCCCACGCAACCTATTCCCTGTCAGAATTCAAACCAGGGTGGAACCTCCAAAGTTCAATAGTTTCATACAGCGGCCACTGAATGAACTTTTTCCAATGGCGGGCACCTGCTGTAACGGCATTGGCCACTACTAAGGCCACAGGTGGTGGCCATTTTACTGTGGAGGCACCTCATAGGCGGTCACCGTTACCTCCTATGAAGGGACAAACAGGGCCCTCTGGTATTGAGGTCAGGCTTCCCTATCCACTATATCGTCTGGGCGACCCACTGAATGAATAAAACCCACCGGCTCGTTGCAATACATTAATTGTTTTCAAACCTGTTTAGTCAGTTAAAGAAAAAAAAATTTTGTGTAAATCGCTTTCGTATTTGAATTTGATGTTTAGTCGCTCAGAATAAAATTGCATTAATTATAACACGTTTACTTCGTTTTTGAAGCATAAAATATACGTAATACTTATCTTCATGTATGTGAACGCATACATATACAGTTGAAACTACCTTGCATAAATGTAATTCATTCGCCCCTGATGATAGAATGTCATCCAAAATGTTCGTGTATGGAAAGTATTTTGCTAACAGGAATTAATGTAAAATGGAATTATCCGTTCTCGGACCTATCCGTTGCAACTGTCTCGGACCACAGACAGTTGCTTAATTAAACATTACAAGAGTACATTTTGCCCAAAGTACTAACACAAAAGCAATGACAATCATTAAATTTCAAGAAGCAATGGTAAACATAATATTAAAAAATGTGTAATAGATGATTTCCTTAAGTCACAGTATTTAATTTAATTATGCCTGTACGAAGAACAGATGACATAAATGGAAGGTGACTAGGTAAAGGATAGAAAGCGATTTGTCATTTGCTTGAGGAATCAAATAAAAACATCATGTATCTGTCTTATTGATGTATTTTTGTTTACCTTTTCTTGTCACTAAGCATTATTCTGTCCTACTCGAGAATCAATGCACCTCTATTTCAGTCAAAATTTATCCAATGTGATTTTCTGATGTCTACGTTTTAAAATGCTTCTTAAGTGATACTAGGTAAGGTCGCTGAAAACGCTTATGCTGTAGCTTGCTAAAGCAATCCTTTGTTAAGATACTATATTTACGAGAAATTCGAAGTTTGCATATCAAAGGAGTATCATCTTCTTTTCCTTCATGTTCCTCTAATGACATTTCCTCCACAACTGCCTTTTGTTGCTGTTCCAGAAGTTGTTCCAGTTCTTTTTTGTAGAACTCATTTTTATTTGGAACTCGAGTAACTCTTTTGTGTCTTCAATGTTAACGTCTGAGCCCATAATTTTACTTACTTAAATTCTAGACCCGATAGCATAAATAACATTACGAAAATTCTAAATGTTAAAACATTCAAAGCTTCTGCTTGCTACATAATCTAGCCGTAATTTCCTTTATATTGATTTAAAGGTCCTGTAAATCACTTGCTGCCAGGCTTTGTTAAATCTCTAAGTGTTCATTCTGTGCCAGAGGCTTCCTTAAATCACTTTTGAAAATGATTTTTTGCCGACTTGTATTGCTCATAAATAGAGACAATTCTTTACCCGAGAAAAGCTTTCTACCCATATTATTTGTTCGTGAACAGAGCTGCTCATGAGTGGGTTCGTGATCCGAGGTGCCACTATATGCATATAAGAGAAGTCTATACTTAATATTGTTGCGTGCGTACGGGTTCGTTATGAAATGAATGCACAAGTCCGATGAAAAATGAACAAAAATTTATTATTATCACAACAAAAATGCTTAAATTTTCGCAAATTATCATGCAGTATTACAATATCTCACAGTAGTTTTCTTTTAACTACTCAAATGTCCAATAGAACGTAATTCAAAACAGCTAAAGAACGCTAATCCGCGAATTCGCTACAATCAACAACAGTAGTTTTCTAAACAACAACAAACTAAGCAACTACTACAAACTGAGATGTTTTCCTCCTTTTATAAGATTTTAAAATCACGCGCTAGAATTTTCCAGTACTTTCTCGAAATCAAAAAGAGAATATTTATTTATTTAATGCACGCGCTCTTGTATTTTCAATTTTCCGGCTTAGCTTTCTTTTTAAATTTCGTCACGCGCTGCACTGCGCGAGAAATAAAACCATTTAATTTGTAATTGAACTAACATTAGTTTTTTAAATACCAAATTCGTAACACTGCCCCTTCCCAAGGACTGCACGTCCCGGGCAGTACAATCCCTGGACAGGAAGCTAAACTTACAACTGTGGCATAAATGCAACTGAGGCATAAACATTACATCACAATATCAAACAACATGAACAATAAATGCAATAACTAACTTAAACACATCAAATGCTATCAAATACTAAATACAAAACAAATACTAAATACAAATCAAATCAAATACACATTTAAAAACATAAAGGACCATGGTCTAATACTATTTACAATTATTTACATTACGTACTATGGCCATAGTAATGAGCTAACCTGTCGTAATGAACGACTTTAGAGTTCGAAGACTTACGAATCCGAACCATGACGTCATTTAGTCTGTTCAGCACTGTATACGGATCATCCGAAGGTGACTGTAATTTAGGACTCAGTCCTTTTCGTTGAATCGGGTTCCACAACCACACCTTGTTTCCTTTGTTGGATCTATGTCTAGTAGCTCGCGTGTGGTAGCTGGTCTTCACTTTCTCCGTCGCCAAGTTGACTCGCTTTCGTGCAGAACGGTGCATCCCCCCTCAAACCGGGCCTGGACATTTTGGATGTGTTCCTCAGGCGATGAAGGCGCATCCGTACGGCGAGCAAACAGGCGGTCACAAGGCAGACGAAGGTCTCGACCGGAGAGCTTCTGAGATGGAGAATAGCTGGTAGTCTTGCGTTTCGTTTTCGACCCTAGCATGATTTCGGCGGCTTCCCGAGCTAGGTCTTTCGGACAAGGCGTTCGGCATTTGCTAGGTGAGGATCTCTTCTGATGATGGACAGTCATTATCACCAGAATGCTGAAAGCATTTTTGTTGTTTTTGAAGTCTAAGGAAAAATTGTCCATTTCCGATTAAAATGTCCAATCCGAGTATGCATGGATCTGTGAATATTCGCCACATAAGCCATGTGGTGGTAGGCGGCACTTCCAAACGTGATGTTTCACGTTTATTTTCCCAGTTATGTCGAATCTTATCACCAGACGCAGTCTGAAGGGTAACACAGGATGGCGTTCCAAATAAGTTTATCTTTAAACTGTTCAGCTAAATCTTTCCTAATGATGGTAACATTAGCTCCTGTGTCAATGATCATATTGCAAGGAACTCCATCGATATTCCCATTGATGGACAGTCCGTTTATTGTTGCCACTCACTATAGAGATCTTAAGCGCTTTAAAGCAGGGTTTTTCATTATCTGGCAACCTTCGTTCCTTGATATGGTCATTAATTTGTTTCCTGCGTCGTTGCTCAGAAATTGTCTCAATTTTCGTACCCTGGGGTGTTCTGCAATTCTTTCGTACGTGGCCTTCAGCTCCACAGTTCCAGCACTTTGGTTTCTTGTCAGTCCTTTTTCCTTCCCGTGGCATTTAATTGTCTGTTTTAAATCGTATGCCTTATTTTTTCCGTGCTCTGGGGAGTTTCTGCAGTTCCTTTGTAGGTGGCCTTCAACTCCGCAATTCCAGCACTTTAGGGTCGGTTTTGTTTCACCACTATTCCGTCTTAAAGCATTCACTGGTCTTGTCAACTTCATTCCGTTTTATTATCCGTGCCTTGGGGTGTTCTGCAATGCCGTCGTAGGTGACCTTCAGAACCACCAACTCCAACATCTTACAGCCATTTTGTTCTCACTGCTACTCCGTATCAAAGCGTATCGACTTGTCTGGATAAATCATCTAAACGAGCCATCAATTGGTCCACTGGCTCATGGACTCGCACAGCTCTAACTGGGTAGCTCCGAGTCTGCGAGTCCTGCGATCTCTCCGAGTTGCTTGCTGGGCTGCCTCGAACTTTCCATGGCGTACAACAGAGCGCTTTTTATGTCCTTTACATCTGCCATTCGAAGAGCTTTCTGTATTTCATTCAGGATCCCGGATGCCGTCGATGAAATATTGCAGCGACAGGATTTCTCTTGTTTCTGTCGGGCACTCCGAAAAGGCGAGGTGGGACAGCCTTTCAACATCCGTGGCGAGTTCCTGGAGTGATTCGGTGGGCTTCTGTTGATGAGATTTTAATTGAAGCCTGCTGTAGTCTTTTAAACACTTCTCCCCAAAGCGCAGCTCCAAGGCGCCGGACAGAGCTTCAAAATCTAACCTTTCGTTTTCGGGAAGAGTCTGAAGGATATCCGCTGCGTCGGCTCTTAAAGAAGCGGCGAGATGACATGCCTTAGCTTGGGAATCCCATCCATTCGCATCCGCCACGATAGAAAATTGTGTCTTATACACCTGCCAGGAGGTCTTCCCATCATATGTGGATAGCTTCAGAGGTGGACGAGCAGGCATTGGTAAGAATTTAAAATCATCACTCCTGCTCCCCTGCCGACGCTACGAATTTCTTTAAAGTATCCATTTCTTTGGCAACTGCAGAAACTCTCTCATCAATTTGTTGTTCGATTTGGTGTTGGACGGCACAAACTCTTCCTTTCAATTCGTTCTCTTCCTCCACAGCAGAAACTCTCCCTCCCTCTA